ACACATATTACTCTTAATAAATTTGTTGTTCATATCCTTATCCAATCTAAGTTATAAATAATAATCTAACACCATTATTATGTATAAACTTTAATGCATAATAGCATCAGGAAGCCACACACAGAGGCAGATTTTAGGCTTAGGTGTTTCAATGGTTTTCTTTTTCACATGCATTTTCCTCTATAATTAAAAGTAAATTTCAATCAAAATATGCACACTTCAGTCAAAATGTCCTAGAATACTAAGATAACTACTTTTCCCCTATATGTACACTGGCCTCAATTTCTATAGTAAATTTTAGAAAAAGCCTTAAGATTTCATGAACATAATAAATGCACTGTTTATATTAGCAACATGATTTTAAAAAACCATGAGAAATAGCATCCAAACATTCCAATTTCATGGACTAATTTTAAAAGTATTAGTTAATGCTGAAATACTGCACTTTTGCTATGCTGTAAGAGACAATTTTTTTTTTTTTTTGTAGAGACAGGCTCTCTCTGTTGCCCAGGCTGGAGTACAACGGTACAGTCATAGCTCACTGTACCCTCAAACTCCTGGGCTTGAGCAATTCTGCAGCCTCCTGAGTAGCTGGGACTATAGGTGTGCGCCACCTTGCCCAGCTAATTTTTTTTTTTATTTTTTGTAAAGACCATGCCTGGCTGACTTAATGTTTTAGGGTTTATTCAAAATGACTCAAATGGACCAGGGGAAGTGACTCACACCTGTAATCCCAGCACTGAGGAGGCTGAGCCGGGAGGATCACTTGAGGCTAAGAGTTCAAGACCAGCCTTGGCAGTACAGTGAGACTCTATCTCTACAAAAAATTTTTAAAAATTAGCTAGGAGTGGTGGCGTGCACTCCAGCTACTCCAGAGACAGGAAGGAGGATTGCTTGAGCCCAGGAGTTTGAGGTTGCAGTGAGCTATGATGACACCATTGCACACTAGCCCGGGCAACAGAAAGAAAAAAAGATTTAAAAAATAATTCAAAATCTTTGAAGAGTTGTAACTTGATAAAATATCCTTCACACAGTTAAAATATTTTTCCAAGAGTCTAACTTTGCTTTAGTAGAACTTATTATCATTTTTGGATTTTTACCACAACACAATAGCTAAACACAAAATGTACCAATCTTGGGCTGTAAAACATAAGCATGTTTCCTGCATAATGATAATTAACATTTAATGAGTATTTATGACATAACAGACACCATCCTGAGAGTTCTACATGCACACTTAATCCTCATTCCACCCTAAAGGCAGGTATTATTTTTATTAATACCAACTCTACAGATTATAAAACCAAGGTGTGGAGGTGTTAGGAACCTGTTCAAGATCACAGAGTTAGTAAGCAGCAGAGCTAGGACTTGAAGCCAGATCTATTTTTCTCCGAAGTCTGGTGCTCTCAAGCATCAAGCTGGATTACAGGCAAATAGCGACCCACTGTACTGACAGATAAAACTATACCTGGAATTATTAACAGTATCCAGATTTAGGTACCATATGTTAAGTGTGACGCTGATGAATGAGTATTATCAGGAAAACAACAGGGTGATTATAAATTCAGGAAAGCCATCTCTTGTAAGAAATGACCATATGAAATTGTAGCAACTAATCTAGAGAAAAGACAAAAAGGAACACATTTTAAAGGGCTGTTAGAGAAAGAGAGAAGCAGGCTCATCTCATGTAGTACAAAGCACAGAACTTGAAACAAAGTATAGATGTCTCAGGAGACAAATTCCAATTCAATACAAAACACTTTCTAATGCTAAGGAATCCAACAGCTGTAACAGGCGCCCTTCCACAGTACTGAGCTTGTGCAGTTAAATGTCTAAATCCAATTAAATATCTGAATTATTACCACCTTAGTAATAACTGATTCAGGCAAAATTATCAGAGAATGAATGTTAAAATTCTTTGTGAATTTAAGTTTGAAGGGGACTGGTATATATTGAGTCTCAAAGTGTCTCCCTACAAATTACTTACTACAAAAGGAAAAATAATAACAAGTAGAGAAACCTGGCCAATATCAGATTAACCAAAAGATCAAAGTTAGTATCACC